CAGTCTTGACGTACTCAGCAATATAAAAACCCATCTCCAAGAAGCTAAAACCTGCTGTAGTCAAAACAGTAACACTGTTCAAGCTCCATCTGAAGACTGACAATGCTGCTTTGTGTAGAGGAGTATTTGTTATCTACGTCCTAGAAACCCCGACTGTCTGTTTGCCACACGTGTACAGGATGCACAACAGGCTGTTTTGTAATAGGTGTAGACACAGAGCCGAGCCTGAACCACCACATTGCAATTGTAGTATTTATCTTTGCAGTTCTCATCTGTGGAAAAAAAGAAAGAGAGAAGAAACTGAAGAAAACACATTTGAAGTTTTCCTTTACAACCAACAGGGTTCAAAATACTTCTTAAGATTTTCATACGATCATGTATGTGATCACAGAGACTGAGGTGTTAAGAAAAGTCTGGATGACACCAATAACAGATGTCAGAATGAGCAATTCTGTACAAACCTGTTTTAAATAAAGAAATAACAACACAAATACAATATATTTCTTAAAATAATATTGGTATACCAGGTTTTTTATATAGTTAACTTATGTTGAAGAATAATTCTAAACTGAAAATTGTTGTAGAATTAAAACTGCTGTAGAGTTAAAACTGTTTCTAAATACTTGCATTTCCTTTCCCTAGTGATTCACATTAATACTAAAATAAAATCTGTATGAGGTGAATGACTAATTTCAATGCCAAATTATGAGTATATTTACTTTATATAAAAGAAAATTGCTTAGTTACCCTTAATATCCTAGCTTAATCATAATGACTCTTAATAAACCTGTTACCAGATGCAGTATATCATACATGATCCTTTTTTTTGTTTCAGACTCTGCCAAGAGAGACTCTTGAGAATGCAAGGAGGCTACATAAAAACCCTCTGTATGTACCATTTTCACAGAAGCAGATTTCTCACATTCTCAGTAATTTTAAAAGTCAGTCAGTTTCTTACATGTTACAAGGAAAACTTTTTTAATCAGAAAGGAAAACCTTTCAAAAAGGAAAATCAAAGAGGAAAAGAGCTGTATTTTGTGTAAAAATAAAACCCTGAACTTGATAAAGACAATATACTCTCAAATCTCTGCAAGATTATTAAATATTTTCTCCACTAGATGGAGTTCCATAGTTAAAACAGAAGCTTCCTCTTCCTTTACCTATTTCAGGGATACAATCTTGTGTGTTACATGGTTCTTTTTCTTCAGGTTTAAGCTGTGGATCACACTGAATACTGGCTGTCATGTCGTCTGATAGACACCGTACCTCTCGAACACGAAATCCTCCTTCACAGGATTTGGAACACTGAAACATGAAAGCTGAAGTTCATGAGGACCATATGAGATGTGCAAATACAGAAAGAAAAAAATGGGAACCTTGAAGCCAGACGCAGGCACCGCTGTAACCTTTTATCAACTTCACCATTTCTGTTCATTTTGTTTTCTAACTATGAAGTCCTAAACATCGAGGTGCAATTTTGTTAAAGGTTCAAAATCATTTTTTGACCACAGGGGCAACAATTGGACAAGCAGACACTGCACAACTGAAAGCACGCCAGAACACCTCCCTTTCTGAATTTATTTAGCTTCTTACTTCTCTAATGAGTCTTGTTCTTCTCTGCGTATTGACACGTATCTCCCAAACCTACTCTTTCCAAAAACGCTCACATTTCTTACTTTAAGAACTTCCTGTACTGAACTTTATTACTTCATGCCACTGCCCTCCACTGCCCTGTTGCTGCCATGTATATACAGTCAGGAATAATTTTAATTGCCTTTTTTCTAGTGCTCAATTATTTGTCACTTCTTGCAGCACAACAATTTTACTAAGCATTATAGATTTCTTTGAATTTCTAAAGAAAATATTTCTGTGCTCCTTCAGAGTTTGTTATGAAGCCAGAGACTTTTGTACGTGGTTGTCATGGTATTTTTAAAGCCAATTATTACATATTTCTGCCCATACTGAAGCAAATCCCCTGTTGACTTCAAGAATTTTGCTTGACTGAGGTCTTTGAGATTTGGCTCACTGTCCAGTTTGACCTAAATGCTCACAAACTTAATTAAACCTGGGTCATTTATAATGATTAAAACCTTAATAGCCCTGAACTAGTAAGAATGTTTTCTTTCTGACTTTTTTGGCATACTCATTTCTTTTCCTAACACTGAACAAACAATGTCTCACTATCATAAAATCAGATATTGTAGCAAACTAACTAAAACATTCTCAACAATATATTCTTAAATTGCTCTTTCATCCTTAAGTACAACCTTTCCTCACTTTAGAAAGGCCACAGCCCTGTGGCAACAGTAATAGAACACTTGCGGTTTTTTATATAATTACTCTTGTTACGTGCCTGTGTTGAATAGTGTAATTATTCCACATCCAACAAGAAGAACTTCAGTTCAAGTTTGTAGGGATCTTGAGCAGTTAAAATGGAACCAACGCGGAATTTAGATGTTACTTACAACGCACTATACCCAAACCCCTGCATTCTGCATTAGCCAGCCATATAATGGCCATGCCATTTATCCTACGTCAGACAAGAAGTCTGCTGAAGATATGAACTGGACACTTTCAAAACCTAGTACAGGGGCTTTGAACAGCTCTTCTGCTCATGGGTAACCCCATCATCCTTTCTCTTCAGGTCTAACAGTAAGAAATACCACATACTCTGTTGATAACAGTAACAGTATCAGAAGAACAACCAAAAACCACTTTGAATATGATCTTGTAAAACTTCAGCTAGCATGCATATTTGTTGCTACAGAGAAGATGGTCACAAAGGCTTAGACCTTTAAGGATTTTTAGACACCACTTCTTTGGAAGTAACTAGGCATCTCTGAATACCTATCAGATTCTGAGTCTTAGCACCTTGTTTCTTCTGTGCCTGCCAAAGAGAGCATATATTTTAACTTTCAGAAGGAATCTATCTGCTGCAGTCTATGGAAGCAGAGGGCTGTATCTCTTGTGGCTACACACCTGCAGGTTCACATCCGAAAATGAGTTCACTAATAGGTTTGATAAGGGGAAACAAACAGCTCAGCAAAGAATACAAAGAATTTCCAGCAACACCAAGGAACATACTTAGATCTACATGGCTTTATTATGAGCCTAACTTGGATGCTGTTTTCAAAAAGTCACCTATGTCTGCAATTAAGGAAGAAAAATCAGGATTCCCTTCAGCTGATTTATTTTGATAAAACCATTCTACCTCCTCTTCTGCTTTCTAGTGCTGCCAGTAGGCCAAAATAATTTCTCTCTCTCATGTCATGTGGATGAGGTATTTCCAACGTTTCTTTAAAAGGGAACTCAAGCTGAAGGCTTCTGAGGTGCTTCCAGATGTCAGAGCTGTCATTGAGAATTTGATTTAAGGCTTAAAAAAGAGTGTAAGTAACTGCATTACATAGGATGTCATTGAAGTAGTTTTTGCCCCATTTTTCATTCTAGGATGACAATGGACTTTCTGATTTTCATTTAGGAGAAAAATGTTGATTTTTTTTGGTAAAAATCCAATCATCTTTGTCAGGTATAGGAAACGATGGAAAGACAGATGAAACCAAAGCATTTTGTGGCACTGGTGAATGTAGGTGGTCCATTTCAAGAGGGAACTGAAGACACATGAAGCTCTACAGTAAGTTTTCTCTCAGTACAGTTCTAAGTATTACAGTGAAGAGTTTATAGTAAAATATTATCATAAAACTGACTTTAACAACTGAATACATCCCTCATTCCTAATTAAATGCCCCTTAATTTTAATGAAACTGGAGGTCTGAAAATAACTTCTTAGTGCACTTCATAGTCTCATTAAGGTGTAAACCAACTTTATAAAACAGGAAAATTCTTGGAAGAAGAGATAAGTGATGAAAAGACAACTATGCAGTGTCTCCTTCTGGTCAGATACTTCCTAACTTCACTGAGTTAGGAAGACACTTCCTAAGCTTTGCTGAGTACTGAAGAGTATGCTTTCTTTTTAGTATCCTTCCTGTGCAAGATGAAGTAAATTTCACTTTCAATGTTTTTATCCAAATGCTGTTCCCTTTCAGTATACACAGAAAAAGATACATCAAAGACGATTAAATACAAAAAAGCTTGGTAGACTTACTGTGCTCCATTCTGTATGAAACCACTTAGATCCACAGGGTTTGAGGTAGCAGGATTGCTGGCTGGGAGGTTTTTCCAAATGTGAACATTCATAGGGGTTCAAAACATCAAAATTACCTTCAGTTTTCCTAGAACAAATGACTTCTCTCTGTTGAGTTCCAGTGCCACATTCAGTAGAGCACTGTAGCAGGGAACAAAAAACAAAGTGGTGGAATTTATTATTCTACTTATGTCCTTCAACTTGTTTCCAAAGTAAAATGATTCTCCGAGTTATTTGTTTCTGAAATAAACACCCACACACACACAAACACATATACTTGCATTTTAAATTAATATTCAAACATGAAAATTTGTAAAGTTTTGCTATTCTTGGACACATACCTAGAGACTAACATCCAAAATCCATTTCCTCATTTTTATATACTTTTTCCTCAGTAAAATGAACTTTACCGTATCTTTCCTTCCATCACTGGCATATGTATGACTTGAAGAGAAAGGAAACAAGTAAAGCATTCCTTAAGTTCCTGTGGTAGGGTTTTTATCTCCCAGAACCAGAATAGTAGCACAGATAAACCTTGGGTTATTGTTATTATTATTTGTATGTAGCACTAACATAGTAGCCAGCAGACCCAGAGAGGAACCAGGACAAGAAAATGCTGAAGGATACAGTAATAATTCAATTAATCAAGCGACTACTGACTGTGTCAGGTGTTACCTACCTAATTTTTAATCTTAAAAATGGTTACAACGGTTAAAACTGTACTTCTGTGAATTTTTATTCTGTCTGGTACCACAGACTGAAAACATATTTCTGATTGTTTTTATGAACAGAACAACATATGGCCATAAGCGTGGTTTTGGAGAAATCCAAAAGTGTAGTTTTACCTATACCTTTTACCTGTAGCTTTACCATAGCTACAAAAAGAAATTGGTATTTATTTTTCTAATAAAAAGAGAATGGTAATTTAGTTTCTCCATAAACTGCTTCTTGCTGAAGCAGGTATGTCTGCACTGCACCGAGGGTTTGAGGGTTACGAGGTTAGAGCACAGCTTTGCAGCTTTACAAATCCTCACATTCTGTGTGGTTTTTAGAAATGCCTTGATCTGCCAGTGTGTTCTTTTCATGTTTGCAAGTATCTATGTGATGCAGTGTTGGTTCCAGTTATGAAAAGCAAAATTGACCCACATGGACTCTAACTGCCCGTTTAAAGGTTAAATATACACACAATACTGTTCCTGGCACTTGTAAAGTAGTTTTCAAAAGATGATTCCAGCAACATATTGGTTTCTACATTGCACAAAGGACTATGATCTTCAAAAGCTTTTTCAAGCCTAAACCAACCAAATGTTATTAAAAAGTGAGGATTTTGTTCATATTTTGGGAGGAATTTATGATCCCTTTACAAGATACCCACAAAAAAACTTGAGCTGGATGAAGAACCTTGAGATGAACGCATTCAAATAAGTTCTACAGGAAATAACATGATTGCACTTTCTTTAACACTGAACATCTCTGTCACTGTTCTCTTTTAATGGTTCCTCCAAAAGGCAATGTTAATTCAGCCTTAGCTCTAGTGGAGCATAATACGGAAGATCAACCACCAATGCTCTCTCCTGCTCCGGTCTACTGACTGACTGCTTTCCTTTTGGTATTTAAAGTCAGGATTTAGCTGGTGGAATAGATATTGTCAGGCACTTCTTTCCAATAACATAGACAAAAGGCTTTGTAGCCTTGGTATGCATCGAAAAATACAATCTCATGCAAAGAAAGAAGGTGAATTAGCTTTAAAGAACAGGAAATTGTAAAGGATGGAAACTGAAGAAATGAAACAGAGCAGAATGGGGAGAGTTAGGATGACCTCACTGAAGGCTTTTCTCTCTGCTATCAAGAATGGATACAAAGTTCCTATTCATCTGCATGGAGCAGTGTAAGTAACAAGGCCCGGATTTTACCTATTTGAACTGCAGCTAAGTATGTTTTAAATGTGACTTTGTTATTACTTGTATACAACACAAACAATTATCACTTACACTTGAAAGCATTAGCATAGTAGTAGCCCTGTAATGTCCATCTCAGCTGTACCAGTTTAATTTCCAGCTCCTTACCACCTTGAAGGATCTGGGAATCTGAAATGCAGTGAGTTAACAGCACAGCCAAGAGTTTTTTCCATAACAACTCAATGAAGTGCTGGTGCCAGCAGTCTGAAGGCTCTCTAGGCTCTATGAGAGCCTAGAAAAGGGACACATAAATGTTGCTGAAATGCCTTTGTTCCTGACAGCAGAAATGTTTATTTAGAAGGAGAAGGACTATTGAGATGTGGATCAAGGGAAGAATTTACCTTGAGGAAAGAGCATTAGGAAACAGGCCACTAACCAAAATCTGTTCTTTTTACCTATTATGATGAATTTCAGCATAACAATACTGAAGCTAAGGTTTGGGTTTAGCCATTGTTTTTTGTCTTATTTATTTTTGGAAATTCCCTATATATGTATGTACCCCTGCAGGCATACATCATCACAAAGGCTCTACTTTAACAAGTATAAATCTGTTGCTTTAGTGTTCACCTGAATATGCTAAGCACGTTTCTGTTATCTTTCATTTTATAAATACACAGGGTCAGTAGATACAAAATACAAATCAAGGTACAGAGGAAGAGAACAAAATCTTATTTTCATCAAAATAAAAAAAAAAACAAACAGCAGGTGCTGAAAAGTATTGAACATCAACTCTGCAAAATACAGAAAAAAAAATATCCAAATGTTGCACAGAGATGTAGAAATACCTTAAGGCATATGACTTCATTGCACAAAAGTACATTTTTGTAATTAAAATACCAGCAGAAAACAAATCCATGTGTCAGATATAGAGCTTACTTGTGTCCAGCTCCCAGCAAACCACTCCACTCTACCAGCACAGGGTCCATTATTACAGGGGGTTGTTTCAGAGGGTCTGTTATTGCCACAGCCTTCCAGAGGCAAACTGCTGACGTGGTTCGTCATACAAACCACCGACCGCGTACGGACTCCGTCACCACATTCTGCAGAACACTGAGGAGCAAAAGACACAACACATTCACTAGCCCGTCCTCCAGACTGCACAGTGAAGTGAGGAGAAGCAACCATCACAAGTAAATTAATTAATACAAAGTCAATTATTTTTACTTGTGACTCAGCTGTAGCAAATCATCTTAGTTTCATACTTTTGAATGCACTACAAGTAGCACCTGTCCTTTACAGTCACAAGTGAAGAATTAAGCAAGAAAGAAATCCATTTTTAATAGCTTTTTATTAGCTTTCTTACTTTTCCTTCCTTCTTCCTCTCCATAAGTTCTTTCAGTTTTCATTTTATTCATAGTTTTAGGAGAAGAGGTGACTGCAGAATTTTATGTAAATTCAACATTGTTTTCTAATGATATGGCTTCCCAGTAAATAACATCCACCATTCTCAACTTTTCACTGCTGAATTAATAGTGATATGTGGATTCTTACACTACATATTGGGAGATAGTACACACATCATCCATAAATCCCAGAGAATAAGCTTCATTTATGTTCTTATATCTCAACTTTTCACTGCTGAATTCTGAAAGCTGTTAATAAATAGTGATATGTGGATTCTTACAGTACATATTGGGAGATAGTACACACATCATCCATAAATCCCAGAGAATAAGCTTCATTTATGTTCTTATATCTTACATTTATGTTCTTCATCTACTTCAGTGGGGAATGTCTCTGATATTCCACTATTCTGGGCAGCATCAAACTACCAACATTTAAAAACCAGAAACATGCTGGGGAAATAATCAATTATTTTGTTAGACTTTTTTCTTTCTGTTGCTTAGTTCTTTCTTAATCTTTCCTTTCTTTCTTTTTCTTTTAAAATGCATTTGGCATTTCATGTCCAGACCACTAAAATAAAGAAAAAACCCATGTGCAGCTTGCTGAAAGGTATGTGTATAATTGAATTACAAACAATTATGTTACACATGCAAAGAAAACCAAATAAATGAAAAAAGACGCATCTGACTGACATTTCAGATTTTATTTTTAACATGCAATGTAATTAGTTAGGAGAAACTCTGTATTACTTCCACAATGAACAGTACATTCCTTGTGGATGAATGTAACTGTATTGAAACACTTTTTTAAATTTTATTGACTAAAAATAAGAATGATTCAAAGAACTGGTAACGAGACACAGTTGCTCACTAGCTTGATTGGGCTCCCATTGGGAATAATGTAAGGGTTCACATCCAGTAGTTCAACTACAGAACAGCAGATGCCATGGCAGCACCACTATTAATAATGGGATTAACCAAGACAATCATTATCTTCTCAAGAAGGAGACTGGTGACTGAATGTACAATAGGCTGTAAACTACTCTTCACTCAATCATACTGAATAATACTGGTTATTTGTGTGAAACACAGTCACGTTACATTTATTCCAGAGATACAGTATAGAAAAGCATTTTTTCCTATCAGTATATTGGTTTCTTTCACAAGATGTTCAAACAGAAAGGTAAAGCTTTACAGAAATGGAATTCCTAGAAAGCTAAAAAAGTGATTAAACTTTTTACAGTCACTTTTTAACAAACCAAATACAATTTTGGAATAAGGGTTGCTTATGTCATCCACAGGAACAGGATAAAACTGCTCACAGATTGGAACGGTTTCTTCCTCTGTCTGCAAGATAATAATAATTAAGCTTCTCTTAAATGATGCCTATAAGTAATAGATATAATGAACCCTTTTTTGTTGGTGGTGCATGAGAAGATTTTCCACTTTCGCACAGATGTGTAAAATAGACTTATCTCCTCAGCAAACCCAATCTGATGGCTAAGGAGTTCTTTTTGAAGTAAACTGGCAAAATCTTGAAAATACAAGAACTATGTAAGTTGTGCTAATAGTGAACATTTTCCTGTCTATGTCAACTAAAACTAAACTAAACTAAACTGATTTCAAGCAGTCCACTCCCAGGCAAACTGACTGTTTAACTGAGCCCCATAAAATGGCTACCTTTCAAATCCACTGTACAGAAATAACTTTTGTGGCTGTTCATATTTTATCCTCGGCGAGTATGTTCAATTACATTATGCATAGAGAACTACGCATATACTCCGCAAATACTTTTCTTATTTCTAAGTAATTTTCATTTGACAATCTAATTTGCTTTTCTGCTTTGCAAACCAGAGCTGGGAACAAGTTTAGTCTATAAAGTCCCACAGAAAACCCCCATAGCCTTATGCTTTAAATGATTATACATGAAGTAGGCTTACATATCAAATAACAAAGGAAATACCATATGGGAAGGTATAGGGTTGTCCCACCCTCTGCTGCAAGATTTTACTACAGATTAACTACCCTCCAAGGATTTACAAAGCAAACTTAAACCTGAATGTTTCTGTGTTAAGTATTTGGTTTTTCATCTTTTTTAGTTCCTTTCAGTAAAAATATTCCATGTGAAAGCTGTGATTTCCAAAGCCCAAGGCAGCAAGGAGGGAGTGTTTGGATAATGAATCCTCTCCCTTTGGTTTTCACAATTGACACACCCGCTACTTTCAATTTTGTGCCATTGATTCGTTGCATCAATACATAGTAACTGCCATAATCTAACATTGTATGACATGAGAGACTTTCACAAGCTGCAACAGTCTCTGCTCTGGTCCTATTATTAAAGATATTTTGTTTCACTGTCTTGTTTTAATTGGCAGAAATGCCTCAGAAACCTTACTCTGTGGAACACCCTCCCTAGTTTTAAGGAGTCTGCCATTTCTCCTCTTCCTGAGGTCTTTCACTCATGAGTTCAGTTTCAGAAGCATTCCATTCCCATTAAAAACTGAAAATAAAAAAAGAACCCTAATCCAGTGCTCTGATAGTTGTCAGAAAACAACTGTAACAGCAGTCCAGGAAAATAAGGCTTGTTCTTGCAAACTTGGAAACCAGCAAGTGGAAGCATGAAGTTGTGTCACGGCCACAGGGGCTGTTTTTGGCAAAGAAAAAAACCCCTTTACCAGTGCCAGTTCCCTTTCACTGATGTGCCAGTCCTACTCATTACCCTCAACTGGGGCAACAGACCACAAGAAAGAGGCAGCAGGAAATCTACCAGAACCCAAGAGCCCTTTCACCCGGGGTCTCAGCACCATTGCTAGCCTTAATTAAATTTTAAAATAACAACCAATTGAGTTCCAGTGAAACATCCCAATTTGTGCAGGATTTCTGTCTACCACATTTCAACCTTCATCATCTTAATTATTCCCCACAAGATAGTGAAGTTTTTTAATGAATCATGCTCCTGATGTTACATACACTACTGCAAAAAAAAAATAAAAATCAAGATCTATGTTTGAAATACATTTATGAAACTCCATAGCATTACTTGACATACTCTGAGAAAATCCCTTTCAGAAGGGAATTTAGAAGCATTATGTAACCTTTGTTTTCCCAATAATAAACTAAGAGTATTATTTCAGAAGCTCACTTCTGCTGCTCTTCCAAGACCGAGGGCAGATTTTCAAAGGATACAAAACCCTTGAGAGCAGTCTTGATTTCTGTGGTGCCAAAACACTTTCTGATGTCTGGATAGAAATTATTTTCCTTTAGAGTGCATCTATGCATAGAACAGGGAGTGGATCAGAAGTCAAACTGCCCCTGTATTTAGTCTAGCAGATCCATGGTATCCTTCCAGGGTAACAGAACTTCAGCTGGATCATCATGATTGCTTCTACATACGCACTGTTACTTTCTTTATATGTAGTTGGTAATACTGTTGGTACTTACATATTACTAATGCTCACTGAAGTAAGTCACATTAGAGAACAGACTTCTTCACTGCTCTGGCTCATTAGAATAAATATCACTTGCCTTGAGAGCTGCAAGGACTTCTGAGGGCCTCAGTGCACCAATATGCCTTACCGGCCCTGACCAGCCTCGTCTGGAGCCTCCACTGACACCCTGCTCGTGGCCTAGGGGCTCCATTTAACCCCAGCCCTGCCTGAGCTTTATCAGGCACCCACCTGTCCCAAGTCACAGCCTGGGCATGGGCTTCATTTATCCCTCACCCTCTGACTCACTTGCCAGCCTCATTACCATGGATCTGCCTCAGGATCATCGGTCTGTGTCCAATCCAGGACCTGAACTGTGGATTGATTTCCCAGCTTGACCTTGAGCCTTCCTCATCATCACCATCTCATCTGATAATCTGGACTCTTGTTTGCCCCTGCCTGCCACCCATGAGCCTGCCCTGCTGACCTAACTGGGATATTGTGGGCCTTAGCTGGCAAGGCTCCTCCCTGCCACGCAGACTGTTATGTTCTGACTTTCATCTAAAGCAGCCGGATTGTGGCAAAGACAGATCAGCTCTAGACAAGAAAACAGAAATCTCTGTAGGTCTTGCCCACCCTTCTATCAATGTCTCCTTCAAACGTCTCTTGGCTAATGTTTCATGAAGTTACATGTTTACACATAAAGAATGCAACAGTCCTATTTCCATATGAGTCCCATATTAAATCAACGGAAAGGGGTATTTTATCTTGTTTTCATTATATGCTGAAAAAAAACCAATCAGTGATAATATAAAATAATGAAATCCCTGCACAAACTCTATGGTGGTCTATTTTCTTTCAGGTTTTCTTTTCAGGATCCAAGAGATTTTACATGAGCCATCCAGATTTAAATAAAAAACAGTGAAAGAAGAGTGTGAGCTACAACATTCATTGGTGGTTCCACATCTGACTAGTCCACAAACTTGTACCTGTTAGGTAATGTTTTAGGATTGTGAGGAATAAAGCCCTGATTTTTATGAAGCATACTACAGTTCTCTAATGGAAAATATTACAGAAGCATTGCTGTCACTTCTTTTAATGAAGAGTGAAATCTAAAGCATGGGTTTGATCTGTTTTGATTTTGTTCCCTGATGTGCAGCATTTTTTCTTTCTTCCCAAGATTTTATTTTGGCCTCAGAATCTCATTAACATCTAAGAATTGTTTGTATTTTGGCTTCTTTTCTAAGTAGGCTCTAAACATAAAATGAGAAACAAATGAACAGAGGAGATGGCAATGAGGAATAAACAAAAATGCAAGAGAGGAATGCTCCAGTTAGCTGGAAGGAAACACTGGTGAGTCTCCCATTGCTGTAAATCAGGAGAACGCAGTTTCCCGCTTCTGACCCACAGGAGAAGTAAACTGTCCAGCAATTAGAGCTGTCAAAGAATCAGTCATGTGAAATGTTTGCAAGAATCTCATCTGCTCCCATCAGTCCAATTTTGTTGCTAAGTTCAGTGAGGTTCACCAGCTTTGCTGATTAATGGACGCAGTTTGGTGGAGCTCTACCATTTTAACATCTAAAGAGAACTGTGAGACAGGAAGTCATCTTTCTACAAAGGCATGTACAGATATCACAAAAGTTTGTCCAGACTCTCTATAATCAAAAGGGTTTAAACATCATGTAGAAGACAAAGCCATGAAATTTAATTTGCTTATTTATACTCAGAGCAATAAATGTAAAGACAGGCACACACAAACTAAGATGAGTCTCTCTCTGCTGCTAGAGCCCTTTAACCTGTAATCTTTCCCACTGAAAAGAGTGAAAAATTCTCTTTTTCTCAAGATGCAATCTGGGGATATCAGAAGATGTTGTTTAGAGCTACTTCAAAGACAAATAACAGAGCACACACTTTTCAGAAAATAAGGGATTGTTTCTTAAGCATTAATTGCTTTCCTTCCCTTACACGTTCCACGAGTGTGCACACAGTAGCCATACAACTCAGAAGCTTTGCAGGTAAAAGTGTGTGTGTAACGGACAGACAATGGGCTCTGGTATCTGTTTATCAAAATAACTCAAACCAAGACTGTATTGTTTTAGGAATATGGAGGGGTTTTTTATTTACTTAGGATTAACTAAATGTATAAAGAAATGGGCCTGTGTAGAAACTTAATCCAAGAAGGTCAATGCCATGGGGGGGAAACAGGTGGGCCATAAAATATGAAAATATATGTTGTGGGAAAATAAAATGGGAGAACATGGTGAGAAGGCAGTCGAGTGTTGTTTACAGAGTAATGCTACATACAGCCCACCCTGGGAAGGAGACACAACTCCTACACACAACCCTCTATGTACTCTGCAGGTTTTGAAGTGCATGTATGTTGTATTGCAGAAGTTATATTTCAGGAAATGTAATGATGTTATCTTCCAATTCAGAACCACAGAAACTATTGATGAAAATGAAGGCAATTGGCCTGATTTTGCATCAATTAAAACCCTGCAAGGTTTCAGTAAAATAAGAAAACCACAAATCTGCCCAGCAATTAATTTAGATTAGATCCTATCTGTTTAACACTCAGATGTGACTATTCATCTCTTTCTCTCCCTGTGTTAAAGAATACCCCTGTCAAATTCTGCACAAATATATATCACAGCTATCAAGTCCTGAAAACTAACATCTGTTGGCAGCAAAGGCAATTGTAATTTTTATGTTACTGTGCTTTTTCTTGATGTTTCGCTAATTAACCAAGGCTATACTGTAATGTCTCATGCATCACACAAATCCGGACATGGAAGTCTGATATATCCCTTGCTGAAAGAGAAAGTAAGTGCCTAACCAATCTCTGACAGGCCTCTGGAAATCTCTTCTCGCTGCATGCGCAGCAGTACATATTAAGTGTTTGCAAAATGGGTTCAGAAAAGTCAGGCCAGGCTGTAACCAAGTTTGAACTCAATAATTTCAAAGTTCCTATGTTCTCAAAAGTTATGCTAAGTTCTTTTACCTCTTATTTCTAGCCACGGCTGAAATGTGAAAATACAATGGGAAAGACTGTTCTGTGGTATTTCCAGCTGAGACTTGAGGTAGGCATGTAATAAATCTCACAAAGAAGGTCTGTTCTTGTGAGCTTTCCACCACAGTTTTGTGGACTCGAGAGGTCTGAACAAGCTTTCTTTAGGCATTTGAACTTTTGGCTGCTTATCTGAACCATTTGTGGCTGCCTATCACTGCTCTATGCTTCTTGCTGAAGTGTGGCTTGGTTTAAAGTACTTTTAAAAGAATTGTTTGGGGAAATTACACACGCCAAAGCCCATTTCCATTCCATGACAGAAATCTCTTCTTGTCTTTCAAAAGAAACACACTTCTCTACAGAGAGATTTCTGATCCTAAAAAACAGCCCTTGAAAGGCACAATGAGAAAGCTAATGGCCAAAGGCCTGACTTAGCAAAGCTATTGACTCCTCCTATATTCCACTGACTTCCACTGGAATCACTGCCGCTGAATGTCTATGAATATCTGAGTTATAAAGTTATATGTGACCCTTAGACGGTTCTGCACATATCCTAGCCCGAACCTCCTTTTTTCTTGAAATAAGCCGTTCCTTCCGTTCTTTTTGTGAATCGAACTCCAAACCCACTGCTGGCAGAAGTGATGGTGAAGAATGCCAACTACAGTAGCAAGCATTTGGAAGAAATTAATTTGTACACTTATATAAGCTGAGAAGGTAACAAAATCCATTCTCTGCTCCCTGACCCTAAAATGTTTGTGGTTAAGAAAAAACTCCAACATTTTCCACATTACCTGCTTCATTTTATGTCTCATTTAATACATATAAATAAGCATAATAAGGATAATAACATTCTACAGTCATAACCTCCAGCTCAAAAACTAGTTTTAATTCTGCAGAGGACAAAATATCAATGCAGAATAATGAAGAAAACATTGATGCTAGAGTCTTTACGGGAATTTATAAGCTTTATGTGGTGCAACTGCACTAGCTGATAGTAGCTGATAGGGCCTGCTTTTTCAAGAAAGATATCTTTGAGGGCAGAATGCATTTTGCTCTCTTACTTGTAAAATACTACTTTAATAGCACTGTATGAAGAACAGCTCTACAAGCAAAAAATGGCTCTACAAGCCATTTTCCCTA